ACTCATGATACACGTACAATTTTGAAATTTTGAAATATTTTTGAAAGAAAACATGATTATCTGATAGCCAAATCGATCGAAACGAGATTTCGGAGAATCCTCAACAAAATTGAAGATTTATTCTGCCAGTTACCATATTAACATTTGCGTGTTAACATCTGCGAAATGATTGCAGAAATCAAATAGGATCTGTTATTTCATAACTACTTAAATAATACATTCCATTTAAACGATTACGAAATTACGGATCCTGCTTGCTTTCTGCTGACAATCTACTATCAGATTACGTCGACAAGTACCGGCTGGCAGAATATGTACTTAATATTGAACATAGTTGACGCCAATCTGTCACAATTTGTTCGCAAATTACTTATGTGCTGCCAACATTGCCATTTCATTCATTACATTTCTAAAACTGCATTCTCATTTAAGAAATTATTCTTTAAATTTGTAGTTTCACCAAATCTCGCTAAAAATGTCACAATGTTGAACTAAAGATAGTGATTTTTTTATTTCCTCTTGTTATCAGTACCTGACGGTAGCCGCTGCGTGAATCATGATATTAACGTTCTCGATGAGCATCTTTCTATCCTCCGGGGATAATCCAAGTCCTGGCAATAACACATCCCCATTAACGGCCGTTATCACTTTCTCGAGCTCCGGCAGTCCCCTTTGCGTCTTGACTTTGTCGAAAAGCTGTAATTTGAATCTCAAGTGAATCGTCCATTGCTTGCGTACGAGGGTCGCGCATAATCGCATGTATGTCATATTACAAGAGCAGGGTAAGAAAGGTAATTGCAGTTTCATGAAGAAATTACAAAAAAGTGTTACTAGAGGATATGAGTAATGAAAACCGTTGAAGACATATTATTATGTCACTACGAATACATCTATCATTAAAACACAGTCATTGCCAGTACGGACTCGCAGTTATTCTAATAGAAAAATCCTTGAGCTTTTTTTTGGTTGAAAATAATTAATGATTAAGATATAATAAGTTTTTTTTCACGCGAGAATGCGATGAAAAGGTTCGAAAACAGCTATATTTAGTGGTTATGTAATATATCAGTTATCATTATCGTGTAACATATGCTGTTTCATATCTTTTTTATAAAACAATAGGATGACGATAAGAAAAAATTTGATTGATAAGAAAAAAATGTACATTCAAAAAATGTAATTCACATCGCATGCAATTCACATTTTTATAAAAATGCAATTATATGTTTCTATTAATCGATTCGTCTTTGAGTTAAATAAAGGTATTAAAAACTTCTATTGATTTATCGTACTCATTGTTGCAAAATATGTTGAATTGAAAATATTTCTTAATAATATAATATTTATGACTGACACAGCAGATTTAAAATAAACCGAGAACTACGTTTTTACTTCGATAATAAATGAAGATGTTAAATAATTTACGCAAAATATTTTATAATTCATTAATTACATTTATA